ACAGTAAAATTAAGAAGCATCATATAAGAAGCATCATAAAAAGCATCCCAGAAAGCTTTCAGATCATCAAAAGCCTAAGCAAGAGATCAAATTATTCAAGAATGAAATATATTTAAATAAACATGGTATCTGATCTTGATTACTCATTTTTAGAAGGAAATCACACAGTGCACTATACAGTCCGCTCTTTTTACCAGTCGTTTACCATGCACCAACAACCTCCACAAATACCTTCTAATGCACGGAGTATGCTAAGTTTGCTCCCCAAGAAAGAGAATTCCAAGAGAAACATTAAGGAAGGAAACATGTTTAATGCAACTGTTACTAGAACGTTGCTTCTATCTCAACCCTTTACTTCCAGGTTTAAATAAAGTCTCAGGACCATTTTTATTGCTTAATACAAACTGCAGAAAGTAAATCATAATTCTGAATAATGTTGAGAAGTACCTATTAGCATGATGGCTTGCTGTTTCTCATTGCCATTTGAGAGAACTATATATAGACACTCAAAGTGAAATAATCCACTCCACACACTTTATTAAGATAACACAATAAAGCTTTAGTTAATTAAGTTTAATTTGCTGTTCAACAAGTAGCACGGAATTTCATACTACAACTTACATAATTGTTTACAGTTCACAATACCCTCACAGTAAAATCAAAAGGGACCAAAAAACGCCCCAGTACCGTTATGCAAGCGCTTGGTTCTCTTCTTGTTGGTCATCCTGAAAAGTAACACAACAATAATAATTACAACATGACATTCAAATACCTAAATACCAAATACATTCTCATAATTTCAAAAAGTATGACTAGGCAAGTCCTTTACTCTTGATTTTTCTTTCCAGTTTTCAAATGATGGATGGAAAATTATAACCAGCCAATTTGTGCTTTTGTACGTGCAAAACATATAATCAGACCAACATATTATGTTTTGATGATGCATACATCATTCACTACAGCATAATACAGATCAACATTTCAAGTCAACTACTTAATTCAATGTAATGTGTTTTAGACTAACCACTCAATCTTAATTTTCCGTAAGGAAATGCACCATCACACATTCATTTTGAAGTTACATTAGTGAAATAAACACATATTGTGTGGGTTTTTCTTTTTAATCTAAAAGCAAACTATGAGCACAAAAGACCAAAACAATATATGCAGAATCTTGTAGTTCAATTAAGAATTGTTTTATTCTATTTTGGCTACACTTAAAGGGCCCAAATACACATTAATTACAGTTTTGGGAAAACCAGATAGTCAAAATCAATTTTTCAGAAGACAAACGAAGCTCTCCTGGTTAAGCAGGTTATTTTATCTGTTCTCTTCCCCCCCCCCCCTTTTAAATGTAATTTAAGCTATACTTTCCTGCTTGCTAAGAAACTCCACTCCCTTTTCCATCACTCAGCTGTTCATGTTGGTGCCATGGTAACTCTTCAGCATAACAGCTTACCGCACATTTCCCAAGGTTGCTTATTTTGTTTCTAAGTTATGGAATTACACATTACAACTGCCTCATCCGGACAGTAATCATCCGGCTTTTCAGATCACAGAACCACATTACAGCCTTCAGTGTTACTGAATACTTATAATTTGGTCCACGTCTTAGTTATCTGACCTTTTTAAAAAATGTATCTTTTAATACGTGCAGGGGGACACTGAGAACCTAGGACCATTGCATTGTCGTCCAAACCCCTCGCTAATATGGTGAAGTATGTAACGCACGTCACGTGTTTGTCTGAACCTCGTTTTCCACTGTGTTTTCTTGTGACTTTCCTAACTCTTCTCACTTTTGACTTTAGTAGGTGGACATGTTTGAAAGTAATTCTGTGGTGCAGAAGAATTCTTCTCTTTATCTTAAGTCCGGAGTTAAGATAAAGAGAACTTCTGGCAACCATGGGATTTTGCAAGATAGTCTGTGCTGCAGAAAAGCTACCTAGCAACAACCATTATAAAAGGAGTTGCCACCACCATTTCAGGAGGCAGAGGAACTGGAGCTGAAGCTTACCTTCAGAGTAGTAAATGCTTAGTTGAGAAGCCCCTAATGACTGACACCAACTAATCATACAGGTTTCACCCTTTCTCAGGACAAGAACCCAGTTGCTGTGCGCTTATGAGTATTTATTTTGCATTTGTAGTCTCTGTGTATACAGTTCTTGTTTTAATTTTTAAATGAATGAAGGCCAAAAGGTGCATTCCATAATCAAATCCCAGGAAGACTAGTTGTATCAAGGGAATTTCTCTCATTAATAAAGGTCCAGACAAAGGTGGTTTTGAATGTTCAGTGCTCAAATATTGGCACTTCAAAAGTAAAAAACTCAAATTCCCCAAGCTTCCCCAAAGCAACTATTCAAGTACTTTGACTTACCATTCTGCAATCTTAATTCACGTTAGAGTTAAGTATCAAACATTAGAGAAAAATGGTAAGTTGTTTATTATATGCTTTGACAGTCTTGCACCTGCTACATGTACACAAGAAAAACCATTTGAGCCTACTTTCAGTTAGTATTCCACATTTTAAAGGCAGTAGTACATCACAGAAGAAACATTACAGAAGAACTGAATGTATTCAAGAACCTAAGGCATACGGTTCAGTAATACTTCCCTTTGGCTATGCCTTGCTAATAATGCTTTAAAGCAGATTTCTGTAGGTTCTCTTCCTGTGTAATTTTAACATCCCAACTCTTTGCAATAGCCAAAACTCAAAAAATTACACCATTTTAGCTGCCTGGCATCTCTGAATTCCAGACTATTTGACCCCCTCACTGTTTCTCCATCAACTTACGCTCTCCAACAACAGCAACCTCTGAAAGCTAAACGCCACATTAGGCGAGACTCCATAAAACAGGACAGAAACCAAACTTTAAAGCTCCTGAAGAAGACGAGCTTACGTGTTCTTGCTCCATTGTCTTTGCTATTTCCAGCTCCTCAAAAGTTTATGCTCAGTCAACCCAGCTGACTAGATAGTAAAAAGCCTATAATACAATAGCTGATTTGCGACTATTAATCCAGAACTGTAATCAAGCACCTACAACAAGATCTTGTTGCATTAACAGTACCTGAAATTGCTCTTTTCCTGACCCATACATATCTGCACAAAATGAAAAGTAGTCCATAAGCCCAAAGACAATAATGGCAAGAAGATAACACGATAGCCAAGTGCCTGGAAAGCAGGAACTACCTGCCTTCATCCCCACCCTTCAGTAAGGAAGTGCAGTCCTACACCTTCAAAAACAAGAAAAAAAATAATTGTCCATTAACATAAGCACTGTTCCTTTGAGAGGGCAAACCAATGTTTCCTAAGATAACTAAGATTCTTGCCCATCCATCTAAGATCCCTGAGTCAGTAATTAAGTTCAGTCATACTTTGGAGACCCAGTTTCAGCTACTAGCATGACATTGGGCAAATCGCTTGACCACCGTATCATTTTCCCGCAGCTAATACCCCCCCCCCATAACATCATCACTCTACCTCACTGGCATACTATGAGTGAAAAACAAAACCAAAAACGTTATCGATGACATGGTGTTCGGACCCTGAAACCCACAAAAATTCTTTTGCTTACAGAGAGACTACACAACTATTACTGTTAGCTAAACATTCTTAAAAAGTCTTAATGTCTTAAAACGCCCTTTCCATAAAACGCCATGGCATTTTGGGATTTCTTGGTTCTTAGAGAGCTGTCATTTCTGAGCTTTACATAATTACCACTACACGTCAGCCTGATTTTTTGTCCAGCATTTTATACATTTAGAGCGACGTAACATCTTCACACACATATGACGAGACTGAAGCAAAGCAGCAAAGTACCTTACCTTTTAGGCTAAAAGAAAGCTTTACTCACATGAAATCACTTTTCCCAATACTTCCCCCTTCTCAGAAGGCGGAAATAAGCGATCAATTAAAAACAAAGCACACTCTCACCTGTATCAAATCAGTCCCAGGAAGGTAATTATTGCTGCATTCCAAACTCAAATTATATTGCCAGAGAAAAACGCTATTTTGAAGAATGCACTTGAATACGTTGGCTTCATCAGCACTTGTATTTACTGTCTCCTGACCGAGCTTCCAAGGATTCTTCTGAGGCACAGAATTCCTTTCAGATCCCCAACATGTCCACCTACTAAAATCAAAAGTGAGAAGAGTTAGGAAAGTCACAAGAAAACACAGTGGAAAACGAGGTTCAGACAAACACGTGACGTGCGTTACATACTTCACCATATTAGCGAGGGGTTTGGACACACCATGCAATGCCAATGCAATGGTCCTAGGTTCTCAGTGTCCCCCTGCACATATTAAAAGATACATTTTTAAAAAAGGTCAGATAACTAAGACATGGACCAAATTATAAGTATTCAGTAACACTGTTGTGGATAATTGAAACCTAAGTAAAGAGTAATGGACAAGCATACCTATTTGAGGCTCCTTTGATCTCAACTGTGAATGCCTCAGTTACTGATGATACTGCAGTAAAAGAAATCAGCAGTCGACTGATGCTGGGGTTGCCTCGTTGAGCACGGCACTATTTTTAGATAGGTTAACACGTCACTTTCTACGTAATATCACCCACACAGTTAACAAGGACACGCTTTTCTCTGAGAAAGTTTAAAGCACGCACAACAATCGCACTTGCCTGGAGACCGTATTACTATAATAGTATAGTTACTTACTACAGTGAATGCTAAAATACATGGGGAGTGCCAGCTGCTTTCTTGCTCCATTAATGGAAACTATAAATAATTAAGCAAGGCAGTCACTGAACAAGCAGGCTTGCTGTGTGTACTCTAATAAACTTCCACCCTTTCCAAAGTATCTCTCAGGTTCTCGCCTCACCAGGACTGGACAAACCGTTATATACTAAGAGGTTTTAAAATAAGGAATAAAAGCATGAACGAGATGAGTGGCTAATAAGCAAAATTAAAAGTGATAATAAAATCAATGCAAAATATCTTCAAGTGCAAAACATGCAAAAAACTCCACAGTTATCACTAACGTGTCATCTGTCTCTGCTGACAAGCAGTCGTGCGGCATCTCCCTCTCTTCTTTCACAGTTACAATTCTCACATCTTCAGGTCCAGAACAAGCAGACTCTTTAGACAACTGGTCGTCATTGTCATACCTGCAGATATAACCCACATTGCTAATTGGAAGACTTGTTCTGGGAAAGAAGTTTTGCTTTCACTTTGAAATACTGCTAAATATGTGTTCAACAACATAAACAACAAAACAAACAAGCGTTCTGTGGAGGATATCCAAAGTCTCTCTTTTTAATCTAATGAGCTGCTTGGTTTCCTCTTTTTTATACAACTTCCAATATTTCTTTAAATGTCAGCAGCCATCTTTTAGGCACTAGTGAAAAAAGATTTCATCGGCACCATTCATATATAAACAGAATATACTACTAACGTTCCATCAGCTGCTATTAAAGAAGTGTTGTCTGACAAAGATCTTTCTTCTTTCACTGTACTTCTTCTCACACCCTCAGGAAGGGAACAGACCGGGGCTTTTGCCAGTGGGTCGTAGCTGTCATATCTAGAAAGAAAACACATCACTGACGTTCATTTAACGCCAAGAATTATTTGTTTCACATTAGTAAACGGAACGGTGCGGTGGCAGCCTACTTACAAGTCCAGTAAAAATCCTGCTACTTCTGCATCGTTTCGGAAATCCAGTTTTTCCTTAAGTGTCAACCATCGGTCAATATGATTTCCCACATAAATCCTTGTTTTACCCCTTCTTCTATCAAGGCTTTGCTTCCTCTTTTTCTTTTCCAAAAAGGACAGCACTGGGGGTCTTCCACATCTCTTTGTCGGTAGCGACATTGTAAGCCTAGAAATAAAACACTTTTTATCGAATTGTAGCTCACAGGAACAGATTACACCTTAGCGCTCCGAACCATCACCGCGAAAAACAACTGCCAAGCACAGTAAACGTTGTACTTCCAAAGAGGTATGAACCTAAAACGCCCTAAGCGACACCAGGTGCTAGGAGAGGCAGCATCACCTGGAAAACGGCCGGCC